AAATCGTTAAATTAGGTCCTAATACCTCATTTAATCTATTTATATACAAAATATACAACAAAGGGCTTAAAATTCCCCCTTGGCATACTCCTTTGTAAGAATTTCGTGGTCCGTGCAATTTATTATTAACTTTTATAAAGACTTTACGTTTAATAAGAAAATTGTATATCCAATCTAATATTTTCGGAGGAATATTTAAGGATGATAAGATTTCTGTTAAAGTATGAATATTAACATTATTAAAAGCTCCGACAATATCAATAAATATGCAAGCTAGTATTTTATTTTTATGTAGGGCTTTTTGAATATCTATATAAAGACACCCAACACTTTCACGAGCAGAACGACCACGTCGAAAGCCGAACTGATTATTTGGTAATAAATGATTACTTTCCACATAATATTCTAAGCGCTGTTTTAATAACTGTTCGAATATTTTACCTACACAAGATGTTAACGTTATTGGGCGATATGAATCAGGGTTGTCTCTAGGCTTGTTAGGTTTTAAAACAGGGATAATGCAGTCTACTTTCCAATCATCAGGTATCAGATTATTATACCAGAGTCCATTTATTATCTGCAAAAAAATATCCAAATTTTGACAATTTAGTTTCTTCAGCATTTTATATGTTATATTGTCCAAACCACTTGACGTATCTTTTCTAGTTTTAATTGCAGAGTTCAATTCAGCTAAAGTAAAAGGAGCTATTAAATACGTATTACTATCAATTGTTTTAGTATTTAATTCTAACTGAAAACAAGGAGTTGGTGATTCTACATAATCTGGTGTGTATTTTCTTAAAAAATCATTTACCCATGGTGGAAAGACATCATACTGTTCAAATTGAGGTACAAAAGTTTTATTAAATTTTCTTATTGCTTTCCAAATTTTAGGCATAGGCGACGTTCTATTTAATTCAGAACAAAAATTTTTCCAGCTGTCACTTCTTTCTCTTTTTATTGTAAGTTTTTTTAGAGCCTGGGTTTTTTTGAAAGTGACGTAATTTTCTGTAGTGGGATTATTTTTAAAACAGATATACGCATCTTTACTATTTTGTACAACCCTTGCACATCGTTCATTCCACCACGGTACCGAGAGATGTCTATAAAATTTTTGCTTGTTAGATGAAACGAAACGCATTGAGTCTACTTTGTTAATATTGCTGGCTTTAATTTTATTGCGTTTACAATATACAGATTTTTTTACAGTAACCAGAATAATGTTGATAAAACTACGATAGGAGCCAAGAGAGTCGTTGAACGTAAAGGAGAACTTTGCTATTTCTTCATTGACTAATTTAGTATATAAATCCCAATTTACCTGTCGTAAATTAACTCCTTGCGGAAAGTCATGAATGGAAGGAGGATATTTCAACTGTGAAGTGACGTTCATTAATATGTTAGTTAACGTAGGCAAATGATAGCTACCTAGTGGATCGTCATTAACTCGCCAGTCACAATTCAGTGCTATGTTGGAGCTAACCATAGTTAAATCTAAACCATTTGGTCTCCAGGTATTTGTACCAACAGTAGTTGGCTGTGCGCTATTAAGTAATATTAAATCACATTCATCCAAACTATCTAACAACTCTCTCCCACGAGTATCTACAGAGTTGCACCCCCAAATAGTGTGGTGAGCATTGAAATCACCAGCAACATAAACTGGTTTAGGTAAAGCATTTATGAGATCTGTAAATTTTTTTATATGAAAACTTGGTCTGCTATAATTTGGACAATAGATAGATACAATGGTTAAACTAATATTATTTATATCTACTTGAATTGCTATAGTTTGTAGGGAATCATCAAAATATGCATTAAGTTTTTTATATTTCAATCTGTTACTAATGATGATGGCAACTCCATTATGGTCATTGCCACAATCATTACGTTCTATAGAGTATCCTTTTATATTCAGTCTGATGCTTGGTCTCAACCAAGTCTCAGAAATAACAATAATATCTATTTGATTATCATAAATAAATTTTGTGAGAATATGTCGACTACACATTAAACTTTGAGCATTCCATTGCATTAATTTGAGTTCCCCAGTGAATTTATGAACATTTATTTTTACTACATAAAGTTTCATTTAAGATGTCTAAAATAGTTTGAGAGGAGATGACAGTATTCTGACTCTTATGTAAAGTAATTAGTTTTACTATTGTTTCTATTAAAATTTCCATTGAAAGAGAGTTTGTATTTAAGTATGAAATTAAATTTTCGGGTTCAGATTTCTTTGGTGATGTATTTAGTTCAGGAAAATGTTTTTTATCAAATAAATTGGCAAAAGTAGTTGTTTGATGTTTGTTCCTATTTTCAGTGATTTTTTGTTGTTTGATAGGGCATTGAGATGATATACTGATATGATTGCCATTACAGTGGGCACAAACTGCTTTATCTTTGGGCACAGAGCATTCTTTATAGTTGTGATTTTCTTTGCAGATGGAACATCTTTCTGCATTTTTACAAAATTTGGAAATGTGGCCATACCTCAGACATCTGTAACACTGCTTTACGGGAGGTACATACGGTAAGATGGAGTGCCTCCATCCATCCAAATCCACATAGTCGGGAAGTTCAGTTGCAGCAAATGTGATGGCGACTGTTTGTGTTGGCTGTAGTGAAAAACCAGATTCATTAATAAAAACTTTTTTAAAAAATCTTCTTATAGATATAATTTTTTTGTAGCTAGACACCATTGTGAATATTTTTTTGTTTGTGTATTTAGTAGGTACATTTCTGATGATCCCTGTTTTTTCAGTGGATGAAGCTGGAATGTTAGCTTTAAAATTATTCTCTTGTAAAAAAGTTTTATTGTTCAATAATGCATTTGCCACAAACTAGGTTTTTCAAAATAGACTCCGATTTTAAATTTGTTAATGGATTTCAAGTATTTTACTCCCTTATTATATCTTCTCAAACAGTTTGATAGTGAAAGTAAATCCCTGGTTCCAATTGGTCTCTGCGAGTCTGAAGATTGAATGAAGACCACATATTCATTATACTTTGAGTCTTCTTGGTATAGCCGGGTGTAATCTGTCACATAATATGGGACACGAGAGCTCTCCTCCCCTTCTTCATCGGACTCCGAAGAAGCTGAGTCAGGCAAGGGGTCCTCCATGTCCTCTTTATCAGGTTCATTTTTTTTCCGTTTTTTCCCCACCTTGTTCCTCCCCATTTATTATTAAATTAGTTATTTATACTATGTTTTTATCAAACTTATGCAAATATAAGCTAGCACTTTATTTTTATATTAAAATATATAATTTTTTCAAACAGGCGCCTAAACTTTCGGAAGTTCCCGCCACTTTTTTTTCCTTCTTCTTTTTTTTATAATGGCTTATCTGCGCATTTCGCACAATTCTGCCAATGTCAAGTGAATCCATCTATATTTTTTTAATGACATTGAATGTTTCATAAATACTTTCATAATTTTAACAGAACAAGTAATTCTGAAAAAAATTATTGCAAAAAATAACTAATTATATCTATTAAAGTGTATTTTTCAGTGATCCTTTTATACAAGCTAATTCGAGCTGAAAGAGATAGCCACAACGAAGACCGTATATCTCGCTCTTTCATCATTCTATTATAAAAAAATCGTTAATTAAAAATTTCAACTTAAGTAACCTTAGTGGAAACCCTTGTATTTTCACAGCAAATATTTAAATAAATTAAACCTTACAGTTTTCATACAGCAAATTAGAAACCCACTGCTCGATCCTGCAGGTATTTGTCTTTTGATGAAATTAATTTCAAATTAAAGTTAAGGAAGTATACAATAGATTAGCGATAGGCTGCTTATTAAAAATTAAACGCAATTGCCTGTAATAAATTTTTGTATAATTAATTTGGTATTGAACATTGCAGCTATATGTTTTTTTAATAAATGTTATGTCATTTCAAAGAAAATGATGTGGAGAATAGAAAAAGAAATGGTTACCAGCTCTCAGTCAGCCGCTACGCCAGGGTTGCCAGGTGTAAACAGGTGTATTACTGTTGATAATTTACAGTCATCTGTTTTTTAAAAAATTCAAATGCAAAATTAATGATTTATTATTTCTGTGTACAACAATCTATGGTTGCCAGTTAAAAAAAGGCCGCCAGCAGAGGTTGCCATTAGTCTAAGAACCCACTGCTTGATCCTGCAGGTATTTGTTTTTTGATGGGATCCTGTACTATAAAGAATAGCTCTCTGACCTCTCTCGCTTGAAGTGCTTGAAAAATTCGTTAGTTCTGATAGGTCCTGAGTAGCTCATTGATAAGAGCAGTCGCCTGGATTGCGAAAGACCATGGGTTCGACTCACATTTCAGAGTGCCAGGGAAAAAGTGTTTTTTAAGCAGTTTTCGTTAAGAATAATAATCCCTTTAATGAATTTTACTAACTTAAAAATTACAAGAGTAGTTAACAAAGTCCAGAAACTTCTTTTAAATTCCGATATGAACTTTATTGATTTATGAAGTTTTATTGAATATAAGTATATTCACTACTTTCTACTACTTTTTGTGACGACTTTTTAATATTTTTTATTGATGAGTTTAACAAATGTGAAAAGGATCGGGATGGGGGGAGAGCAAAGACTATTGTTCAATGTCAGTATGTGTGGTTATGAGAGTTAACCCTCTTCGGTTAAGATAAAAATGTTTGGGGCACATAGCCGTTTTTTGGGTGATTTCGAATGAGCTTTGGGGGAAGGATTACAGCCCTATGGCAGCGCCATGGCGGTATAATAACGCTTAGAACGTTTGGCATATATTTAACCAGGAATAAAAACTATTCAACATAATAAACAAATCTAATATAATGTAATTTCATTATTTTTATATACCCCAGCGTGTATCGAACTTTGCACTAATCAAATTTTGACAATTTACAAGTTTATTATAAGAGAAGTTACGACATGTAAGTGTACTTAATTCACTTTCTAATTTTCATACAATATTAACTATTATTACAATATTTCATACAATATCAATATTAACTTGGGGCAGAAAATCTAAAAAACGTTTATACTTTCTTTTTGATTTGTAAAACAAGGCAATGACGGTTCATCTTGCATTTTCTCCAATCTATAAAGGCAAGTGCAACATGGACAAAAGTAAAGCCTCAGAAACCTTGCCATTTTTGATTTTCTAGTATTTTTCGAATAATCACTGTCGCGTGAACTCATATAAACGTTGTAATCTTCTTGAATGCGTAATGACTTATTCAAATTTGTTTTATCACTGTCCAGTATAACCGGAAGTGTTTCTAACTGTCTCTCCTCGTCTGGTAATTTTTCTACATGATCTTGGCAATGTTCCCAAGATGTTAGAGGAAGTAAATATTCTTCCACGTTCAAGCTATGTTTAGATGGAGACTGTGATTGGAGTATAAGCGTTGCTAGGTTGACCATAGATGAACTGTCAGGTTGATGAGAGCCGTCCCCTGGAACAACTGTCCTCACCTTGTTCTTCAACTCCCTGTTCGTCTGGTCTAGTTTCATCCGTAGCACTGTGATATCAGAGTCGCTCGGCCAGGATACCACATCAGGGAGGGGACACTTCAGCCGTTTTGATCTCATTTTTTTAATATTTTTATGCCCAGTTTTACATTTTTCTTTAGACAAACCTGATTCTAGACTCTTAGTTAAACTTGTTGATACTGTGCTGTCCGTCTCCCAAGGCAAATCAAAAGCAACTTGCCGGACATTAAAGTTACCCTTCGCTCTTTGTATCTCTATAATGTCTTCAATTTTCCTAATATTATCGTTTTGGTTTTCATTGCAATCCATAATAAAGAAAAAATATGTAGTGTGTAATGTTTTTGAAAAATTAAACCTTTAATTTTTTTTATTTGACAAAATAAATAAATCAAGCTGGTTTCATTGAATTTTAGATCATTACATTAACATCATAGAGAAATTCTCAAAGATTAAATTTACAAGTATAAACCAAAAAGGTTTCTTGAGTTTTTAAACAGGGCTAGAACTTAAAACATAGATATATAGTATCTATGATCCAAGGGGCTAAAATTCAGTATAACCAAAAAGTTTAAATAGTAATAAATGTTTTTCCCGCTACTTCGCATGCGTAAATTATAGCACTTTGTTTAATGTAGCTACTCGAAGGTGAAAGAATTTTACAAAACGGTCCAGTAGTTTCGAAGCCTATTCACTGCAAACAAACAAACAAACAATCACTTCTTTCCTCATTATAATATTAGTATAGATTAAAATTCTTTAATGTAACAAATAGTTTCTTGAAATAAACCCGTATTTTATTAATAACGCTACAAAAAGTCTATTATATTTGTGCAAGGAAGCAATACAATTATTTCCGATTCGCTTTTGGTTATTCATTGATGGATCGCCATGCTTGGTAGATGGGTCGGCTATCGGCTTATACGATACCCATGGTCAGAGAATGGGTAGTACTATTCTAGACAAGTAACACACTTATTCAAGAACTTTATAATGCCCAAACTGCACAAAGCTACACATCCGGTTAGCACAATATGTCAAATTTTTGAAATGATTTTTGACCTCTACTGTAGAATAATTAAGACTTAAAATCGAGTGCAGAAAGACAGTTAAGTATTGTCCGACGTGCAGTTGACTGGACTGTCCTAAAGAAGGGCCGTATGGAAGCTTTCAAAGCTGTAGTATTAAAAAAAAAGTTATATATCAAATGTCAATGTCAAGTCAACTTTTCGTCAAAAAAGTAAAGGAAAGAAGGATGGTGTAATGTTTTCGCTGAATTAATTTTTACTTTCTAATATGGAGCACAATAATTTAGACGCTGCAAGTGGTGATAAATTTAATTTGAATGGGAACTGTTCACCATCTCCGGAAAAACAGTCTTTCGACTTGAATCATACCAAAAATATTGATGACATCTCTACGCCTTCCGAACTGAAATTTGATGAAGGTATTGTAAACAACGTATGAATTATATTTATCGTTTCCACAATCAATAAATACGCAACGCAATGTCTCAATCGTAATTGAAAATGTAGTGTTTATGTAGTTTTGATTTATATAAGTAAAGGTACAAGAAGAGCTGCTAATAAAAACTTGTATGATTCAGATTTCGATTTCGAAGACCCTCAGATAAGCGAAAAAAGGAAAGAAATTGAGAGATGCCTTCATAGCCCAGATACTGTAAACTTGGACCAGTGGCAACATTTGGCCAGAAGTAAAGGCGGTCTTATAAGTGGTATGTTTATTAATCATCATTTTATATTTCGCATCTTTTTTCCTAAACGAGGCATGCAACAGATGAGCTATTATTTCAAATCATTCATAATGCAATTTATTTCAGATGATTATAGGAAAGTTATATGGCCTCTTTTGGTTGGTGTGACAAAAGATGAAATGACAGAACCACCTTCTTTGGATGATTTATCAACGCATGGTGAATACAACCAGGTAACCCTATTGTATATCTTTTTCAATTACATAATTAATCATATGTCAATATTAGATAACTACAATTTATATTCTATATACTAATCATATGGAAATTAACATGATGAAAGTGATATATCCTAAGTGTAGTAATTTTGCTTGTAGGTGGTGTTAGATGTAAATCGTTCTCTAAAGCGTTTCCCTCCCGGTATTCCATATGAACAGCGTGTAGCTCTACAGGACCAACTCACTGTACTCATATTGAGGGTCATTATAAAACATCCCAACTTGAAGTATTACCAGGTAATAAAATTTAGTCATGTATTTTGCATGACTTTATTACATTATTACTATTTATAACATTAATAGTATTAATTAAAAATTATTAGAAAACATGTAGGCTTACTATATTACATAATTAATTTTATTCAATATTTTCTAATAAAATATAACTAACAATAACTTATTAAGTGACTTGTGGTGTATTTATTTTCCATTGTTACTCTCATAATCATATATCTTAAAGTTGTCGATTTCTTATTTTTAAGTCAATTTTAGTCTTAACAATAAAAACAACACAAATCATTTTAAAAGTTTACGTTAGCCAGTCTTTGTAAGAGGCAAAATATGTGAAAAAAGTTTGTGCTTGCCATATTGTAAGTATTGTTTACTTTACACTATGATAATGATAGAAATGTACTTCATGCTTTCAAGGTTAAGCCCGCTAGAGGTGCTGCTTAAATCCCATACAAACATATGTGATTACAATATGAATATTTTTTGAGAAAGTATTCATGCTTGCCCTGCTGTTATATATAAAAGTACAAGAGATGTACAAAATGGTTTACCAAATATAAACTGCAAATTCTTTTCTCATAAGTATACTTTTTAAAATGCAAATTACAAAAATAGTTTTATTTGAAAATGCTAAGTACTTTTATTATTGTACTTAGTTTTGAATTGCACAAATTGCCATTAAGAACTGTTTAATAAGATTTTGTTTCTAATGAAAAGTTTCTGCATGTTATTCAAGATTTTACTTTAAAGTGTTGGAAGTACAGCTCAAAATATTTGTGTTGTGTTTGTATTGTGTAAACTTTTGTTATGAATATGATTGCAATTTACATATTAAATATAGATTTATTATTGATAAACATTTGATGAGCAATATTTTTTATTACATCAATACTTTCTGATGTGTTGCAATCAACTAAAAACCTATAATCATCACATATTTTTTGATAATAAAAAGAGCAGAAATTCTCAAATTGACTAATACTGACTATATATACCAATCTTATACCAATGCCAATTATTATAAAAATACTTTATGTTGAACATAGTAAGTAACATTTAGATTTATTACATCAAAGTTACATCCAGTATACTCCGTTAGTGTCCCTTATCTTAATTGAAATGTGTCTGTTGATGATTTCCAACACAATCATGTTGGTATTGAATATCTTGCCGATATGCATGGATACAATATTACAATGTACAGTTAGTTTAAACTATGAATAAAAATTCATTTTATAACACAATAATTAACAGCTGTCTTTTTTATAAATTAATAAACGCATAAAGAAAAATAGTATTCATAATGTTTACCACCTATGTGTCTTGTTGGTTAAACATCTGATGGGTATAATTTCGAGGAGTCATTAAGCGGACTGGCAATTAGACCTATCGGTTGACGTTAATAAAAACGTAATAATAGATAGAATTACTTTTGAGTTCACAGTAAGTTACAATTGATGTGGCTCATTGATGTATCTACACATAAGGATAAGTCAGTCAGTCAGTCAGTCAATCCTATATTACGTTACTTTTTGAGGGATAATAAGTAAAAATAGTTCTTTTTTAAATTGCATTTATTAAATGATAATATTTATAATTAATCGAATCTATTGATTCAGCAGCAGACTCTTGTAGTTTTACCACAAAGTCATTTATGTAAGAGTCTACAGCATACTTAAGGCAACCGACACAAATTTGGGGAATTTAATGACATCAATAGATGCAATAAGTTATAAATATTATATTATACATTTAAACCGTCGTGTTTGTTAAGGGTTATCATGACGTGGCTATAACACTGCTGCTAGTGTGCGGCGACCGCGCCTCGTTCCCTTTGTTGTGCCGGTTGTCGTGCGGCGCGGCCGCTCCGCTGCAACCGTTCATGCAGACCACTATGGCGCCCACTCAGCACTTGCTCAACTACATGCTGCCAGTAATACGACGCGCCGATCCTGATGTCGCCGACTGCTTGGACAAGTAGGTGATGACTGTTGTCATTGTACACTCACTAAGCGAACTAGATGTAACTGTAAAATCTAAATAAATGTCAATATACTTCTTCAAATATTTAAGTAATAAGTTCATACTATTTTGTATTGACTAGATCCGTTGTCCTTAAAATTGTGGTCATCATATAAGATATTACCGTAATAACGAATATCTCACTTTATTTTAAATGAAATAATGTATAAGTTTTGCAGGTTACACAAAATTAAATTAAATATTTTTTGATATTTTATCTGAGACGAAAACACACAGCGTTATTCGCGTGCTTTTGGAAATTCATACTTTAACTTTGATTTTTATAAATACAATTGATTTTTGTAAACTTCCCCGAAATATTAATGTAATTTGCTTATTATGTTTTAAAACTATTTTTCAAAATTAGTCGAATAGCCTATTGATCTAACACAACTTTACAATTTTGGATCTCTCCTCCTGGAGAATAGAGTATAAATGCTGTCTTATTTGTTAGTAGCTTTCCGCCAGCTTTCAGTTCAGTAATATTTTTCCTTGCCGTTCCATTCCTATCAATCATACCATATAACTGTCCTCAATTAATGAGCTATTCAATACACAAATATTTTTATCAATTCGAAGAAGTAGTTCCTGAGACCAAGGCGTTCGATCGATCAAACAAACTCTTCAGCTTCAAAATTAAAACTGCGACAAGATCAGATTTCGATCATATCTAATTAAAAAATATCAAAGGAAGTGTTATATTTGTACTGTCTCGTCACAGAGCCCAAGTGGGCACGATGTTCGCCCTACCGTGGTACCTGACCTGGTTCGGCCACAGCCTGAACCGGTACTCGGACGTGGTCCGGCTGTACGACTACTTCCTGTGCTCGCCGCCGCTGTTCCCCGTGTACGTGACGGCGGCCATCGTGCTGTACCGCGGCGGGGAGGTGCTGCGCTGCGACTGCGACATGGCCATGCTGCACTGCCTGCTCTCCAGGGTGAGTCGCATCACCTCAAAACCTTGTGAATCAATACATAAATAAATAGTCATTGTAATATCCCGTGGGCACAGACAAACATAAATTATACAGATGCCATCATCCCATAGAACAAAATGTGACCTTCTTGTGTCCACTATTAAATGTAAGTTTATTGTCTTTTATTTTTGTTTTAAATTGTCAATCAATAAAAAATTAAAACAAAAAAAAATATTTGAATAAAAGAATAATAAAATAGTAGTTTATGCAATTGTCATATGAGAAGGGGTATTAAAACACGAGAGTCTGTTTATAATAGGTTGACTCGAGTGTTTTAATACCTAAGTTATATGCAGTTTCATACACTACTTTATCTTCACTCATAGGAAAAATTGAAATTAAACAAAGTAGGTAGGTTACAAGGAAGTAATTTATGCGTGCGCCATTTTATTTCAGTTTGAACTGCGCAAGCGTTCGCCTTTTTTTTCATATTCAGCCTAAAACCATAGACTAGTTTCATGAAAAAAAAAGATAGTGGTACTATAATGAGTTTTATGATACAGTTAGCAGTACTATGTGTTTTATTTTTAATTTTATTTATATGCGTTTATAAAGTGCGTATGTATAGAATCGTCTTTGAATTCGTAATTCGAATTTTTCGATTTGAGTGTAGATAAACGTATTTACAACGCTATCTCTGCATAGACATTTAATTATTTAAAGCATACTCTTGCTCTAAAATTGTGACGACTTGTAATTTTACGAAAGTTAGATTAAATAATCCTTTATTTCATTTTTCCGAATTAAGGAATTTATTCCCTTTAAGAAATTATACTGGTTATTGTATATTCTGGATTTTTCACAAACGTAAATTTTAAACGATACATGTAACGTCATCTATTGTGGTTTTAAGAACAAATACTTTTGGTGAAAGAATGTTTAAAATCGATTATTTTTTTTCCTGTATGACATTTATATAGATGTGCCACTATTATATATGAAACAAAAATTCAAAAATACCAACAAAGTTCTGAACTAATCTCCTATGGTTTAGTTGAAGCACCCTGAAACGAATATGATTAAAGTTACATGTGATATTGACCGCTTTTTATTATAGTTACCAGATGACTTACCCTTTGAAGACATATTGGTGACAGCGGAAAAACTATACCTCGAAAATGATCCCGAAGATCTCGAACCGGAAGTTGCAGCGCTTGAGAGGAGAGAGTGAGTACTCTCTTATGTTATGCTATGTGATATGATTATATATGACGAATATCTTTGAACATGTTTTTTTAAATAAACAATGCTTTTTCAATTACAATTTATCATAGAACGAAATTCAGTATAGTGGAATATGTCGGTTTTGACACAAACAAAATAATACCAACTGACCAAAGCAAAAACTAAATGAATCTTTAACCTATCATTCTAATAAAATTTTGTGCTTGCGTCAAGGTGGCAGAACGCCGTACTTGAAGATTCCGCAATTTGATGAAATTAAGATTAAAAGTTTTTTATGGTTTTTGTTCATTAAGACATTTTTTACTTACGTTCCCTTATAAATACATAAAAAAATAAGCACCGAGAGCTAATACGCTCATACATTTTTAACCATAGAAAAAACAAATGCAGTTATTTTTTTGTATATTTTAGATTATATCAAAACATATTTTTATATAGATAAGATGAAAATGTGAAATATATTAGTCACAAACTCGATCCAACAATACCTATTTAAAGTCATCTTTGTGATTTTTAACGCTAGCACTGCTCCTACCGGTTTGCTGTCAAAAAGCAGTGCAACTTTAACATAAGTTTCTCGAATATTAACCGTTTTTAGACCCATCTAAAATTGACTTCGAAAAAAAGTCAGTTTCCGCGCCGGGTAATGTAGATCGTTGTCGGTACAGAGCGGAGATACGTCACGCGGACGAGGAGCGCATGCGCCGCCGGCGGGAGGCGGGCGCGCGGGCGCGGGCGGGGCGCGGGCGCGCGGCGGCGGGCTGGCGCGGCGTGACGTCACTGGCGGCGTGGCTGCCCGCGGTGACGTCACGCCGCGCGCTGCTCGCCACCGCCACCGTGCTGCTCGGCGTGTACGTGTACTACCGGCCGGAGCTGCTGTTCAACAGGTAGCGGCACGCGTATCAGTTTGTCTTCTTCCGCTTCTAGGTGACGCGCCCCGCGGACGACCGCCGCCACGGTACATAGGGACGATCGAGCGATAACCCCGATATGAGCACGCTTCAGCTTCAGCGGCGCGAATGAGAAAATTGGTCCGATTTTTACCGACACGCGAAAACATGACTGTAATTCTTACTGGTGAATTTATTTTATCACCGTAACTGAGTTTCCATGAGTTGAAAAGACCTTTTTCGTTTTTACAGTCTTTAAAAGTTCTAAACTAATTGTTAGCGAGAAAAGATCGACTAATATTGCACTAATTGTCGATTTCACTATGGGCATCCCTATCTGTCACTTTAACGTTTGATCAGTTTCGCGCTAATATTCTTCCGGGTAATCATTCTTATTGGAATCGACATGTTTATTTAAATACATCAATTGAATAGTAAAATATGTTTTTCATAAATTGAATAGTAAAATATGTTCCGCCCATAGCTCCCATCGTCTTTGAACTGTATTTGCTATCCACTTTTCGCTTCAATTGGTGACCCGTTTCTCATTTGTGTGCGTTGAAGTCGAAACAGTGAAACAAAATGCAGGTGCATACTCGAAGGTGGTTTCATAAGAACGGGATTATTTAATCTGATCTCTTTCTATGTGCTGTGGTCCGTAGGTCGATATAATCGATTCTCGTTTAAATAACGCGCTTGAGGTCTGATCGTCCGCATGTTGTGGGGATACGACTGATCCAAAAGACACGCAATGTTTTGTGACAATTCTAATGAAACGGTTATCTGGGTGTTATGTGTAATTACTATAGTGTAACAAAAATAATTTTAAATCGCTTTATGTCTTCGAATTAACGAGTTGGGATATTGGTTTTAACCGATCTATATTAAATTGTAATCTTTATTAATACCCTCTAGATTAGATTTAATGTCTGATGTCCACATTATAACATTTTTTTTTATTTGTATGATAATTTGAAATGACACAGATCCTATAAATCACACAAAATTAAATAATAAAATGTACACGATTTATTTCCTTAATAATAAACAGTTTTTTTAGTTTAAATAACATATCATTCCCTGTACTTAATTTTTATATTACATAATATGGTTTGGATATAACATATAAGTTTATTATTGATGATAATTTTAAATAATATTTGTTGTGTCACTATTATTATTGTATGAAATATTAATAATCGCCTACATAAGCAATTTGTTTAATTTTAATTTAATTTTGTAACTTACATTTGTAAGATTTCTACTTTAAAATTTATTAAATATTCATTTATAAATCAACTAATAATTTGATACACAAAATTAGCTCTTATTTCATTAGAACATAAAGCGTGGGTCAGGCGTAGATCCATCACCTACAAGTCTGAAAGAGGACAAACTGATATGGGAGGAATTGCTTTATTAACAACTCTATGGAGGAATAATAAAGGTAATTTGTATTGTATAGGAAATATATAGAGGGGTATAATTGGATAGAAGTAATTAGAAGGTTGATTGAGAAATTAAATGATTGATTATGAATTAGGAATATATAAAATGCCTTAGAAAGCTGTAATAGTCACCGTATGTTTACCAATAATATTTCCGGTCAGCCATTTTGAGCGTTCTTTAAATGTATATAAATATCTTGAATCAGGTATCTCGTACTCTTAAAGGTAAAAACATGTTATCTGATATTTTACATCAGAGTGATGCCGAAGCATGATAAAGATAATATTTTGTTGAAATCTTTGTTATTAAGTATTCATTCAAGTATCACGCCATCATTGTAGTGCCTGACCCCGGCATAGTATGATTGAGACAATGGAATGTGTTGTATATTATACCTTATAGTTATTCGAACAAGAATTAGTGGAATAAAGTTTCATCATGCGTCATATTGCTCATCTCAATAGTGCAAATCTGACGAAAAGCTTTAGTACGTGACGTAGCATCCGTCGAGTATACAAGTTCTGTCCATAGAGTATATTTGTCTGACAAGACGAGTCGTATACTCTGTCAGATACGCACCGACCCTTATATTCAGGACATCCTTATTTTATATTGATGTCTTGTACAAGTATTATCATTTCAGATAGTAGGTTTTACCTTTAAGAGTGCGAACTTCTTTCTACTTCATACTAATTCAAAAGTTGCATATTCATCGACTCGAGGTGGTTATAAGAAACCTAGTTAATCTAAATCTCACTGTTTATTAAGATAGCGCGCAAGAGAAGCTAGATAGAATAAAAAAATATGAAGTAAGATGTATTAAGTAATGATGGTAGAAGGCATAATTAATGAAGGATCCTAAAACAAATATATGATACCTAAATAGTGTGTAAGTCACTTTTTAATATGCATTGCGTAAGAGTTGTAATTAATTAAATATTGGAGCTTACATTAAAACTATGGTAATCATTATTGGCGTATATAAGTGAATCTAACATTGTTTGTATTGTAAATAGGTTTAAAAAAAATTACGATATGTTAATTAAAATTAATATATTCAAGTCATTGTATTAAATTCTTTGTGTTTTGTATATTATGCCCTATTATCGTTTTGTTTTTTCGAAATGTGATATTAATTTCTTTATTATTGTGTTAGGTTACAATAAAATTGTTTTCATTCCTCGTATGAGTAAAATGGTATTATTAAACGTACGCTTTGAGTGTATGCGAAGATTCTGACAAAATTTTATAAACAAAATTAACAGCACAACAAAAAAAAAAAGATAAAAGCATTTATTAATTCATATCATTTATATTATCGTGGGTTTCAAGTCGTAGAGGTGTTCACGGAACACTCGTTTTTCATAATTATTCAGCCTATTTACTAATTAACAATGCATGCTCGAGTAAAGAGAGACACAGTGTATCCTGATCTTCGCTCTCTTTCTAACCAAGGGACAGCTGGAGGCGTAGCTTCCTTCTTTTTTATTATCCATTAACTCCATTACCTCTACGATTTAATACCGTATATATTTATATAACATCTATAAAATTGGGGTTCTATCCATTCGTATCTATAATATAAAACTCGCGATATAAGTCACACTCATTATAAAAATGAATTAAATTTCATATGATTTTTTCTTTTTTAAATCTCATGAGGTTTTCGGTATACTGAAAAGGTATATATATTTTATTTGTATAAATTCCATTTTATAATAGGGATGATGACTGGGTAAAAAAAAGCAATTCTATTAGTCCGTCAGTCAGATAATAGAAAAATATTAGATACGTTTTTTTTTACTTCAATTTAACAAGAAATAGCTTAGATAACAGGCATTAAAGTTGAGGAGAAAACGTACCCTAACGTGACGTCATGCGAAATTTCAACTCTATGTAACACCGTAATTTTATGATTACGAAAAAAATAAAAAATACGTGTTTAATATTTTTTAGCACTCTACCTGACGGACAAACAAACAAAAATTAGTCGTCATCCCTATTATCGTTGATTTAGGATCGAAATTTTGTTTCCGTCAGCGATCCGTTCGCATCATGTTAGCCGTTAACCATTACTAAATCAAATCATAGGTAAATCAAATGGTACCGTCTACAAACAAATATTAATTGTATTTTGACTCTCTTTACTTTCATCTTGTCTTTCCATTCAATTTGGGAGTCGATATACTCTACGTAAAGTTTATAGTTGATATAACAAAAAGAGAAAAGTACGCGATGTCGTTGCTAACGGTACTTAGACGGTACGCCAGGACGCGCGGTGCGGTGAAGCGTGATGAGTGGGAGTGGCTAACTTGAAGCGAACAAGATTGTTTATTAACTTTGTCGTAAACAGATAAAGTTATAAAATCAATTAGAGGAATTACTCTGTTCTGTATTTATGTATATAACAGGGCTTGAAATATAAACACCATAAAAGTAATAATAATATCTGAAAAGTTCATGTGATTGTACCATTACACAGACTGTATTAATAATTGTTAAGTTTAATTTATTTTTTATATTTAGGTCTTTAGTCATAATGTAATATATTTCAATGAAATTGTAATTTTTGTTTAATAGATATTTGAATGTTTCTAGTAAAGAGTGTAATGATGCTGGATAAAACTGTTTAAGATGCAATTAAATGTAAGATACACATAAGTTAAAGTAATATTTGTATAACTTTATATTTTATCTCCGCATAGAATTTGTAATGATCGCCTGAGAGCTGTGTCTGTAGTTCTAAGATATACATTAAATATATCGTTCGTCTGTCCTATTTTAACTTGCACATTTTCTGTTCTTTAGACTAGGACAGCACGATGAAGTTGCCGATATATCTAATTGTTATTAGTTAAAACCACGCCCCTTGGTTGCATTCAATACAGTCTATAAGTGAGAATCTGTAATAGGGTGAATAAGTTTAATATTCATGTTTGTATTTTTATTAAAAAGGTGCTAAACATATGTCGAAAAATATACTATTCATTATGATGACAAAATAATTATAAAAGAATTACTACACAACTCGAAATCGTAAGAAATGTGTATGCGAAGTGTTTATTTTTTAACTAATTTTGTTTATTCAAACTATTCTAGACTATGATAGATAAGAGTATAAATATATAACTGTATATTTATATCTCGATCTCTTTTATACTCACGCTGGTAGAGATGCAAGGTTCTGTTTTGCGCCTTTAATATTAAACGCTTAATTTACTGACCTGTAGGCGACCCATAGACAAATATATCCATGTACTGATATATCGTGGTCTGACTCATCCATAGAGTTATTACACTAGAGTAGGAGTAGGTAGTAAGAGGCACATGGCTGTTTGTAAGTGGAAGATGGCGGTAACCCATCATTTTATTTTTACTCACGGAAAGGTAAAAATAAATTTAAATATCGAAAGTTATTTAAATTGTACGAAAGTGTTTTATTTATCTTATAATATGTAACAAAATCAGAAGGGATGCCACGATCTTCTCTCTTTTACTAGTAGAGTATCGTCTCGAGACCTCGCTTACGTACTTACTCTAGTATAAAAACTCATCGGATATATCGTATATTATGGTGTAACTTTTCGTAAATGACAAAGCAACACTTCATACGATAAAAATTACGATATATCGAAATTGGTAAAGAGATAAACGGCAGACTCATATATTACTATTGCCAATTTCAGCACGTGTCTATATGAGAATTTTTTATGTAACAGTCGCCTGAAGTACAATTAATATCTTGGGCTGTATATCTGTTTGTCTGGGTGGTTTCTATGTTTATACATCATTTATACTGAGTAAATAATGTCTATTAAGTGTAGGCGATTACGGCCGGTTGTGTGAACAGCGAAGCTCACAGATTACATGTTTATAAAGAAAATGTGTTTTATTAATGACAGTTCTTTATTTAATATCGTTTATGGTAGCAACAATGAATTTTAACAAAGCGTTACTATGAAATAGACAGTGTACATAAGATCTTTCGTATTTTTCCAATTAAATTGCTTGTTGATTATTAGCAGAGGTCATTCTCATAATTAGGGCTAGACTAGAAATACAATCAATTTCTGTACATTTTTTATTTTAAAACGCCTATTAATTTTGCCTGATATAATAAAAGTAATTCATTGTTAGGGTAAATTTTATCAACAAAAAAATTCAACTACTGCTTTCTGGCGTTAGATTGCAGCATTAACACAATGGTAAACACGTCAAAAGTCATTCAAATTGAGCAAAGAGAAAAGTAACAGTGATTTTGTTTATGGAATTTATTATTTTTTGGATTATTTTAAAGTAATTTTATCCAAAATTATTATTGTTGCATATTTGGATGTAATGCAAAGATTATTCATTCATTTCCAAAAGACAAGTTTGTTCACTGTATGTGCTAGTGCTGCCATCTAGTAGAGCTTTACGTGATATTCCCTATTTATCTATAAATCCTACCTTAAATTATTTTTTGTATTTGCAGACATCACGAGGATAGTCTACGGGAATTATAGCGGTTTATTATAGCAGGATTTGTAAGATAAAGTTATGACTTCATTTATTAATAACTTTGCAGAAATATAATTTTACACTTTAGAGAGAGAGAGAGCGGGAGAAAACGTACTATCTGTACAAACTAGGGACGTTTATTGATTTAAAAAAAAATATAATTTCTTATTTGGTTTTTGCCCCTACATCAAATTAACAAAAAAATCCCTATCAACAGATATGATGAATCAAAATGTTCCTTTTAATATAAAAGAAATTACTGTCAGCATATAAAAAAACATATACAAAGTAAGTAACATTAATGAACGTCAACTAAATAAATGCCCTTATTACATTATATAAAAGCAGTAGAACATTACAAACAAAAAATCAGATACTTCACAGGAAATATTTATCACAGCCGCAGGCTCGAGATTAAAATAAATTTACCACTTAAAAATAAAAAAGAAATATATAAATATAATTTTTCTACTTACAAGTATTGTATATATTGTCTAGGATCAAAGAAAATCTGGGTTTTAATAGCAAGTTGTTCTTAAAAAGAGAGCACACTTAACAATATTTAAAAGCCATTAATGCTGATTAATTAATCAATTTGATACAATAATATAACTAATTATATTTAATGCTTTAAAAAGCTTGAGCACAATTCAGTAAAATGACTATATGAGAAGAACTCGGTACATTTATATTTCTAACCCTATCTTTATCTAGACGTAAAAATACTACTAACTATTCTATTGTACGTTCACTACAGAATATTTGATAGCGCAATTACAGCTTCTCTAAATTCTAGATCAAAATGGAAACATTTACCTATATGGGCGAGCATCGAGTGACTTTTCTATTAGGCTAACGGCCGGTTACTGAATTGAGATTATTCTTAATAAATTAAGTTTTTTTACGTTTCATATGACAAAAAGTATTAGATTAATCAAATTGCTATCAACTGATAATTAAAAATTTATAAATCAGCAATGAAAACATGTTTTAATGACATTTAAAGTGGCTTAAGCACGGTTTGAGACGTGCTCAACTTCAAATTCTCAATGCAGAAACCGGCCGATAGAGTTGCGTAGGTACTGTGATCCAAAATAGAGAGTACAATAGTACTCTACCATGTAAGCGTACTCTTATAATCGATAACACTAATAGATGACGCATAAATACTCTGTATTTAATGGTAAATAAGTCCGTACTCTATCACCTCTTTTGAAATTAGATTTACACTATTTCTTTCAATAAAAGTATGCAACCCTATTTATATAGCAACCTTGTAGTATTGTTTAATTGATGCGACAGCAACACGCGTTGAAAAGTCCGTCCGACCAGTTCAGATAAAACTCAAACGAGATTTCACTTGCAGGATGACAATGCCGAAGAATAAATTAAAGTTCGGAGATAATTATATTTCTTAAAAAAATAATAGAAAGCTTATAGTTGTAGTTGGTAATATGAAACTGTTGCGAATATACGTAAATAAGTATTAGAAGTAGCTGCTTATAAGGAGATGTCGGAAACTATAAAACCGGCGAGCAAAGAGTAATGAATGAACTTTTGATTTGCGTTTATATTAAAGTGCCCTGTAGATTATAGCATTTGCTTTTTCATTTCTATCTCATAGTGTTGAATATTATTTTTTTCCAATATTCCGTAACATTCAACATAAGTCAGTAGTATTTTTACAAACAGACATCTTTAGCACCTCGTACCTTGAAATTGGCCATTTGACCAACATTGTTTCACAAAAGTTCAAAAGTAAATATTATTACATTCCACACATTTGTTAGTCAAAAAAGTTCTGAAGGCCATAGAATATCACCCTTCCAAAATAAAAATGCTTAATTACATTAGGTAATATTTAAAGAATCACAACAAATGAGTTTTTGTTCAAAGAATTAAATTTAGCTGTCATTTAATGAAGCCATTATTTTTGTCATAACAATATATGTATATATATATATGTGAATAACTGGCAAGAATTAATGCTTCAACTGGTATTACTAAGGTATGTCTTAAGGTAAATAATTATATTGTAGATTTAACTAAAATATAAATAATTGTATTTTCCACTGGTAACTGAAGACTGGATGGAATTGATAATTCTTTAATGATGACATTTATTCTACACATGTATCTTATACAGGGGTACAAATTTAAAAATAATAGCACTTCATAATATCGAGACGAAAGAAAGAGAAAGTCGACATTACCAATGTAATGTTATTTCTAAACGGAAGATTATGTCTCATCCTCTTTAGACACACGATTCATACCGGAATAAGCAGATACTATTCAATTAAAATAGCGTTTTTTTTTTTTATGAAATTCAAATTAGAACAGCCGTTATATTTAGCAACCATTATATCTCCGTAATAATTTTCAATGTGTTGGGGAAATTTTGTAAAAGATACTAGATACCTTGCTTTGGTCTTCATATACACAGCGTAAACTAAGGAAATAGCTGTAAACAGACCTCATTCCATTTCAGCCAGTGAGCACCGTCTGTATGTAGTTGATGGCGCGCTGATCGTGCAGTATCTTCAGATGATCGGCGTTAGGCAATGGCAGTGTTTTGACGCGGGTCGGATTCAAAATGGCGCGCGAACTTTTCTGCCGCCAGAGGGCGCACGCGGACAGAGAGCGGGCGTTCACTGTACCGTCACCGTCGCCCGTTAGCAGTTGAGGGTAGCCGTCCAGCCACGTGCCTGGCTTGTACGCCAACCTAATGGGATTAATAATATAAACATTTGTCTTGAAATTATAAAATATAAAGTTACACAGAACAGCTTTTCAATCTCATAAAGCTTATTAAAAAGAGCAATAGGTATATAATTGTTAAGTAAACATGTTGCATGTAAACAATTAGTTTTCAATTTATAGACACTATACACAACATTACGTTAATATAAATTATTGGACACACGCGTATAATTAAAGCGATAAATAATTTATCTATCTATCTATCTACAGGAAGGATTAACATACATTAACGATTAAAAGTAGGTTTGTCAATCCCTCATTTAATAAAACTTAAAAATAAATTTGATGTTGGTTTAAATATGAGCATATGACAGCTTTGAAATACTTTTCAACAGTTGAGTAGCTAATTGTAACTATGATCTGTTACAATTTTCCGAATTGAATGTCTACTATGGAAACTGAAAAGCAATACATTGGTATTTAATTTTTTTTTTGGTTTTAGATGCTAGCCTAAGTATATTAATTACCTTTCCACTGTGGATACATTGTAGCCATAGATGCAGTGGACTTCCACGCCGGGCGCTCCGAAGTCTGAAGTGAATCGTTGCGTATCCTTCCTCATCTCCCATGCGTTCGGCAGCTCCATATCGCTGCAATATCAATACCATATTAATTACACGCAAGAGCCTTTGTCGTGAAATTGAAAAGGTTAAGTAACTGGTGATCAAAAATGTATTAGTTTGAGTTCCTACATGCTTCGAAAGGCATGTTAGGTGATTGGTACCTATCTCCAGTCGTTCACTCTCACCAATCTGATGGGTTCATGTGTTACAAAACTTTCTCATGTGCCCCACCTCACGGGTACATTCAAAATCTGATGACAATTATGAAACATTTGAGTCTGCTCTGATATCAGACTCGACAAATCATGTTTAACTAACGTGAGGATTGGGTGTGCATGATAAGTTATAGCCCGTTCTCGCATTACCATTTGAGTTGACTCCACCCATAGGGCAGGTCTGTGCTCCAGCAGAAAAGACATTAATGTGATGGAGAAATAAAGATTTTGACAATTTTGATTTTTCTAAACTCAAAGAACCACTTCAATATCCTTTATTTATGTTTTATCCAAAATATGTCTTTTTCTCCTTCCCTAAAACATCTCAGAAAAATACTAACGTGAACAGCTTTTGAAAGTCGTTGATGGTGTAGTTGTATTTATCTGTCTGGACCAGAACCTCTGAAGGCTTCCAGAACAGTGGTGATGGCAGCAGCCATGCAAGTGATGGACACGTGATCTGCTGAGTCCGCATCGTGCTCTCGCGTAGCATCAACGAGCCAAGGTCGTCACCTAATGACAAAAAAATTATAATGCTGGGGTATAACATAAAAAACATCAATACATTCAGTAACTGCAGTAGGAAACATACAAACAGTCATACATCACAGTGTTCAATTTAACAAGATGTTCAAAATATACAAAAACTCTATTTGTGCTGTGGATTTGTGTAGTTTCCCATTATTATATCATTTTTCATTGCCATTCTACTCCAATTAGTCATAGCGTGATGTTATATAGCCTTCCTCAACAAATAGTCTATTTCCTGAGGAAGTTCAACAGAAAAATAGTATTTCATTATATTTTATCAACTTTGCATTTACAATGCTATATTAATAAATGCTTAAAAAACCTGGAGTTGCCTGGATTGTAAAAGATTGTGGGTTTGAGTCTCATCTTTGGGTACCTGGGACTGATGGATTTTTTAAGCATTTTATATACTAAGAATAATCTTTTAATTTAACCAGTAGCTCCAGAGGTTAGTGCGTTCAAACAAATAAACAAACACTTTTCAGCAATATAATATTAGATGATATAATAATAATAAGCCTTTTATTATGAAAAAAGGGCCAAATATATTTTATGAAGATCTTCATTGCTCTAGAATAAAGTCTATGTAAATATATTCCAATCATAATTTTTGGGATAATGTATAAAAAAAAATTTTGATACATCAAGCAATATGAAAATGTGTGTGTGTAGTTAAAATATTTACTATTCTTTTATAAAAAATGGCCAGTATATGAATAATGTTAAATATGTTTACACTGTAAACCTATGCTTACAACACACTTGCATGCAACAATAAAATAAGAACATTTTACTATACAAAAAACACTTAATATTCAGTAGAATCACCGCAAAACTTAATATAATTTTTATTGCAGGATGTTATCTTTACAATGAAGTGAAAAACATCTATGTAGAGAACATTGACACCAATGTGAAGACTAGCAAAATAAAGTAAATTGATACTTATAATTATGTACAATAGAAATGATATTGACATATACAAAAATTATTAATTTAAAAAATATATATTGTTGTTATCCAATATTGACAATAACTTTACATACATTCAAATGTGCCTATTTGAATAATTAAGTGTTTGTGTATACTCATGCCAATCATTGGTGTTTAGGTTTTCTATTATTATTTCTGAATCTGTATAATTAATTTGATACTGACACCTAGAAGCTGCTGGTATTGGGAATGTTAACTGGTTCAAATCTGAACAAAAATGTGCATGTAATTTAGATATAATAATTAATTAACTTTAATCAATATTAATAAGAATGAAATATCTCACACAAAATATATTGGGATACAGGCCACATCAGTTGTTGCAACTGTCTGCCTGTCTTTGATAATTATAATATTAGGCTGATATATTAAGGTACATTGTAACTGTAACAAATATTTTCTGTCAGTCAACAATAATACACTTGGTGTATGTAAGTTGACATACACCAAGTGTATTGTTGTTGCTGTATGTCAACTTATTTTTCTACAAAATCCAAAATATAATTAGCATACATATTAACTAACAAAGATTCTTATGGTGTTTTGGTTTTTTTTTAAACAAAAGTGAACTAACAACAATAAAAAACAATCAATAAAAAGTTGATATCCTACCTATAGCGAAAACTTTAAGAGCTTTCACAGAACCACCCCAGGGTGTGGACATTGAGATCATCCTCTTTATGTATTGGTTCTTCCAAGTTTGCGTTTGCATTTGCAGAAAATGGAGAGCCATAGAACCTCCCATACTATGTACTAACAGTGTGACAGAAGATTTATTGTTCATGTTATATGTCTCCTCAACTAAAGACCTTAGTTTCACAAAGAAATCTCCATTCTCATCTAGAATAAAAAATACCTCATTATGTACTTTCTAGTATCTACATGTTTATGAATAATAATAATTTGAAAAAACAAAGACATATACAAACTTGGTGCTTTCCTGAAGTCATAAGGTGCTCCTCTGATAGATACATTTCTAACATAGCCATTTTTCACAAGAGCATCTGCAATAGTATTAAAGTAAGCCCCTGATTTATCATGGGAGGGATCTAACCACTCCACAGGCTCTGGATTACCCCACCCTGGCACCCTAATGTCAACTCCATCAGGATTTCTGGTGGTCCGAGTGATATTGTTATATTCCAACCTTGTGTTATCAACCCAACAGTCTATTACAAAAGGTACCAACAACTCCAAATTGAGCCATATGTTGAAAAAGTCATTGGACGTTTTTGCACATATATAGTGAATTACAGAACTTTTGTTTAATTTAGCTTCTAATTGGCTACCTCCATCTCCAGGAACTAGAAAAGAGTTAAAGATGTCAGTACTGATACTAAGAGTCGGATAAAAATAATGACAAAATGGAAAGTGCATTATAAACATGAATACGTACTTAATATGACCGGGGATAATCCAAGAGAATCTTGAGTTAGAATACAGTACACAAATACAAACGCAAAGCTTATTTTAGAAGCCGACATCACTGAATAAACCGATACAAGACACACAATATGCTTTAACACTACTGGTTATTAAATGCGCGAAGTTTGTTCTGGAATATGACGTTCTTCAGTTTCAATGTATTTTAATATTTCAAATTACATTTATGTAGGAACGTAATTTGATTGCGTTAAATGACGTCGATATCGTACGATGTTTGTTCTTATTAAATGTGGTTTGTTGGTATAAACAATATTCGATTGATAAGGACCTGCAAGCAGGCAACCAATTATCAGTCAATCACAAATATTGTATTGTTGTTTGTAGAATACAATTTTAGTGAATTTAATTCCCCCTGACAATAATGTGACGTTTTCAGTCACTTTATATGACATTGACGTTAGCTAGTGAGGGGGCGTTACCCGTTATCCCGTTTCCTTTGAGCGTTTAATGAATTGGTATTTATATAATAAATCTGTTTTTCTGTTTTTATATCGCACTTCATAAAGTTTTATGTAATTAATTAAACATATATAGCTTTCAGCTTAAATAAATATTATGAAGTTCTATAGATATCTTTACAGTTCTTTTTCATGAGCAAAGAAAGAAAACATCATTTAATTATTTTACAAAAATCTATTCAACAGAAATTCGACGTCAGAACTGACAACGGTTTTTCATAGAAGCACTTTGAAACTTATTTTGAATAGTGTCCTAAATATCCTAATAGGGTAACTGCATATTATGGTTACCCTGTTAGTTAATAAACTAATTTAGTTTATTTTTTAGAATTGGCAGACAAAACAGTGTTATTGTAAGTACGCAAAATTTCTATTCATACAATGTGTAGTTCAAAACAAAAGTAAATACAAATACACAACATAAAAGTGAACTTCAATTTCTCTTCTGTGATACTATTTGTTTACTTCGTAAATACTACTATTTGTTGACTTCGTAAAAAAAAAGTTGGTGCGAGTAGTTTATATTGCATAAAGTTGTTTCTGAACGTATTGATTAACAACGCGCAAGCGCGCCATGTATTTAAAAAAAATTATAAAATTAAAATGGCAGCGCACAATTATTTCTATAGTTTTATTTAACTGTACTTATTTGTTAGGTAAACTGTAGTACTTTAAGATTTAATTTAATTTAAAAAGATAAAATGTTAGGTAATATTTGCATAAGGTCAAAACGGAGGGTTTTTTGCCTTTGGGTTAGAAATTGAAATGTTTCTACAGGTGAAGATATTATATAAAATCAATAAAATCATTCTGAATTCCCTTATTTAAAATAAATAATTTTCTTTTAGGGTCGGATTATAATTGTTTGGTTGTCTTGGCTCATTGGTGGAATTTGTGGAGTATTTATTTTGCTGATCATTATATGCTATTGCCGCCTAATGCCGCGCCATCAGAAATCTTTTGGTAAGATAACTACTTTATATAAGTAAGCTGATATGTACATTATTATCAAAAATTTAGCAGGATGTAACTAGTGGCGGATTTTCCCTAAGATCACAGTAGGCCTAGACCGCCAAATAGTTGGGCCGCTCAGTGTTCAATTCGTTTATTCAGAAATATATACATTGTGTAGAATAAGTTAAACATAATAATTACATAATACAATCACAACTAAACAAAATCAAAACCATAATTTCATGATTTATATCAGATCAAGTAGATTTAATTGACATTAAATAAATAATTAATTATTATGACATCAGTCAAAATAGTAGTATAATGTCAATAAATGAATATCAATCTAAATATAGAAATGTCAAAATTCACAACATTAATATGTATTTATTACATGTAAATAAGGATTATGAGTCCTTAGGATTAATAAATTCATCTACAAAATAAATATATTTCTCCTAACTTTTAATTTAAAACTACTTTTATAGGTACACTACTAGCTGACCCGGTAAACTTCGTACCATCTTATATCTGTTTTTTTTTTATCTTATATATAAACCGTGCCATGAACCAATTTCGTGCAGTCGCAACTGGAATTCTGTAATTATGCGCGTACATATGTTTCAGAAATTCATTTTTATTTATCAATATTTAATAGCTCGCTTGGAAATTTTTATTTTTCGATAACTCATTACTCTCATTAGTTATTAATTTTTTTGATATAGTGTAAAAGGCATAATAAAGGGTTTGATATAGTGTCAAATTTATTTATATGAATAAGTATCAATACTGTACTGTTAAAAATAGGTTTGGAAATTACCCATTATTTTACTGTTTTAATTAGACGTAAAGATGGTTATTGTGGATTATCCTTGGGATATAGACATGACACGCCCACTGCAGGGCATAAGCCTCCCCCAAAAATCTCCAAAGCGATCGGTCCTGCGCCTCCCGCATCTAGCGGCTTCCCGCGACCTTCACCAGATCGTCGGTCCACCTTGTGGGGGGCCTACCAACACTTCGTCTCCCGGTACGCGGTACACTCCAGGACCTTACCGCCCCAACGACCGTCAGTCCTGCGAGCGATGTGCCCTGCCCACTGCCACTTGAGGTTTGCAATTCTTTGGGCTATGTCGTTGACTTTCCTTCTTCTGCGGATCTCATCATTTCTGATTCGATCTCGCAAAGAAACCCCGAGCATAGCCCTTTCCATTGCCCTCTGAGTGACCTTGAACTTCCTTATGAGGCCCATCGTAAGCGGCCACGTCTCAGTTCCGTATGTCATCACTGGCAACACGCACGAATTTAAGACTTTCGTCTTGAGACACTGCAGTAGATGTTCTGAAAATCACTGCGTAGCTTCCCGAACGCTGTCCGAAGTTGGACTTACCTAATCGGACTAATTGTCCCAGGTAAACGTACTCGGCGACAGCTTCCAGTGTAGAGCCTCCAACATTCACTGGAGTGGGTACGACATGGGAGTTTGACATTATTTTTGTCTTCTCCATGTTCATTTTAAGTCCCACTTGCTGGGAAACTCTACAGAGGTCTTTGAGCATTGTGCCTAGATCATCCATGGTCTCAGCCATGATTACGATATCATCAGCTAAACGAAGGTGCGTCATGTACTCGCCGCTTATATTGATGCCAAGTCCTCTCCAGTCCAAAAGCTTAAACACGTCCTCCAGTGAAGTCGTATTGCTTTCGAGTTTTGATCCTGGAGCCGAACTGACATGGTAGCGTTTTCATACAGTGACTGCAGCACTTGGATGTATCGATAGTCTATTTGGCACCTCTGGAGTGACCCAAGCACGGCCCAGGTCTCGACGGAGTCAAAGGCTTTCTCATAGTCCACAAACGCCAAGCACAGTGGCAGATTATACTCCTCGGTCTTCTGTATAACCTGTCGCAGCGTATGAATGTGGTCTATGGTACTGTAACCTTTTCAGAAACCGGCTTGTTCAGGAGGCTGGAAGTCGTCAAATCTACGTGCGAGACGATTCGTGATGACTCTCAAAAACAGCTTGTCCACATGACTCAGAAGCGCGATGGGTCTGTAATTCTTCAATTGGGCCCTGTCGTCCTTTTTGAAGAAAAGCACCACCACGCCCCTGTGACGTGCTTCTGGCATCTTGCCCTCGAGTATGGCGGAGTTAAATAGCTTCTGAAGCGCTTTCCGGTCTGGTATTACACCCGCTTTCAGAAATTCCGCTGTGACTCCGTCATCCCCCGGCGCCTTGTTGTTCTTGAGATGTTTGAGAGCCACACTAATCTCGTATAGACTGACGTCCGGGATGTCTTCGGTATAATTTCGGGTTAATTTGGCTCTAGGGTCTGTAGCCTCAATGACAGGTTTCTGTGATGTTGCGTATAACTGTCCATAGGAGCATTCGATCTCCGCCACAAGCTCAAGACCTTGGGACAGATCTTCGCCCTCCCGGAAATAGAGCAGGTTACCGGATTTAAGGATAATCGTGTCCTCGCCCTCTCTTCGGACTTCGGATAATCCTACAATACTCCAACGAATCCTGTCCAATTCCTCCTCTAGTTCCAGCAGTTTTTCCTCGGTCCACATTGTGTGTGCGTTATAGGTTGCCAGGGCCAAGGTCGTTTGACGGGGAATCTTTGCCGCCCGGGGATTCTTCGCACCCCTGGTGCCTTCGTCGAGTCGGCGTTCGTCCGCGTCGGCACGGCTTACGACACCGCCGGGCAATCGGGGCCTTTCGTTTGGGTCTATTTTTATCATTGAAGGGTTTTGGGCCGTCTCCCACCACGCTGGCCCAGTACGGGTTGGTGGGGAGCGCCTCGTTGGTTAGTCGGTAGGGTGTACCGCGTGCAGGTGAGGTTGGCTTGGGATCCGTTAGATGTTGCTCGGACCCACTTACACCCCCTTACACCAGTTCTATACAGTTCACGTCATTACTACCTAGAAGCAAAGTTTCTCCTCTGTTTTTGTTTATCTTTGTATTACGAGGGTCAAACTGAAAGTTCTTAGAACTGGCCACTTATAAACAATATAATAAAAAAATAATTCTAAAATTTGAAAATATAACTCTTTGCCAATATTACTGAGTATATATTTCATTCATTTGTCATTTGTTTTACGATTTGGCGGCAAATTGAAAATTGTCTGTGTCACGTCATCATGAATTTAACACGAGAAAATTTTCGTGCAATGATTTTTTATGACTTTCGATGTCATTTAAGTCAACAAGAAAGTTATGATAGACTACGATTGGCCTTTCACGATGAAGCCCCATCTCGTGCGACTGTTTACAACTGGTTTAATGAGTTTAAACGTGGTCGCACTAATCTCACTGATGATTTACGTGAGGGACGGCCTTCTACGGCGACGACTGAAGATAACATCTGTGTTGTGCGGCGTATGATAGAGACTGACAAAAGAGTGACCTATCAACAGATTCGGACAAGCTTAGGCATCGGTATGAGTCAAGTGCACAAAATCCTCCACGAACATTTAGCGGTCAGGAAGCTTTGCGCCCGGTGGATACCTCATAATTTGACTGAGGCTCAAAAACTCCATCGTGTGGATTGGTGTCTTAAAATGATTGAAAGATTTAACGGAGGTGACTCAAATGCTGTGTTCGACATACTAACAGGTGACG